AACTGCTCTCCTCTCATTTTAGTCTCTACCATCATACAGCATGTGGGCAGGGTGTCTAACTAAGAAAGTCCACTGAGGTAAGCATGGAATCCATCATCCTCTGCAACAACATCTCTGACTCACTAGGAGCAACTGAACACCCAACCAGAAGCTCCCTTATCTTGCGTCGACCATAGAAAACCCAGTCCCATTCTAGTTCTCATGACTCCACGTGGTTTTAAGGCAGGGCTAACCACACCCACACCACACCCTTGAGATTGATCCAATAAAAATTTCAGAAACTTATAATTATCATTAATTTTTGCCAAAAAAGTTTAAAATAATAATTATTGTGCTTGTAAATTCCTGGATAATTAAAATAATTTTAAAATCCAATTTGAAATTAGAGTCATTCTTAGAAAAACCATCTTTTGGAGATTGAGTAAAACTTTGTTTCTTCTTTAATGACATCTACGAAAAAAATTAACCATGCATGAAAGTATTTTAATACGATGAATAAGTTCATGTACAACTAACCTGAATACTAATCATGCTTTAGTAGTTGATACAGTATTCATTGCTGGGTTTGCTGTTTGACGAATAAGTTTGAAGCATCTTTCTTTGAATGACGTGATACAGCACATATTTCTGTGAAAAAATAAAAACAGTTCAATGAATGAATAAATGAAAGAGACAGAGACAAAACTTTTAAAAGTCATAATAAAACACAATGCAACTTTGTGGTTACTTTTATCTGCAAACAAATTCATGGCAAAGAGTTGCGTAGTGTGCATTTATTATTGTAAAAAGACAAAATACAGTTTATTGGTTGAAATGTAGGCAGAGTCACTTTTTACTCAGTAGTACAATGTATAGTATTGTAAATCAACATAATCATATAATGTATGCATACAAGTATGCTTATACACACACCTATACTGAAATGCATATACAGTAAATGTTTAGCGAATAAGATAAAAGCTAAGAGAATATGAGATGCTGGCTAGTGCCTAGCATAAAGGCAGACAGGATTGCTGCGCTAGAGAGAGAGAGAGAGAGCTAACAATGACTCGTGTTGACACCCAAACACTGATTATAATAATTACACAGCATGCATTATATACAAAGATAATTTATGAATATTCATGAGTTCTGATGTGATGTCACGATGCATCAGCTCACACTACAAATGTTTATAGAAAAATGGTTACTATACATGCAAAAAGGCATTTTATATGCTAACACACTATAAATTTGGTGGAGGAATAATTGAGCAATGTGACCTGAAGATACTAAAAGTGGGTCACCTTGATAGTGAAGATGCTGAAAACTTTTAAAAAGTTATACAACACCATAAAAATTTAGAAGTGGTCTCAATTAGGTCTGAAACTTATGATAGGAACTTTATTCGATGTTTATCAAAACTAATGTATCAACCATGCTTCCAGCAATTGCATATCAATAACTACTCATGTACAGATACCTCTGGTACATCATCCACTTCATTTGCTGGTGTCCATTCCTTACTCTCTGCATTCTTCCTCTCTCCTTATCCTGTTACACTTAGATTGGATAAGGTTACATTTGATTCTAGTGATTCTCTAGCTATCAACACTGAACAACAATCAAAATCACTTGATATAGCTCGTGTGTATTTATATACAAGTGTAAGTGAATCCTCTCGTATTCTGGAGTCTAATTTTCTTGAAATCATTGAAGATTAGGAGCAATAATGCACTCTGTTTCTTTTCTAAAGTGAAATCAATCAAAGTAGATGAGATCACTATTGATATTGATACAAATAGTTTAAGATCATTGCTCAGTATTGTGTCAGTAAATGATTTGACAGTTTCTTTTAAGGTAATTCAGTCAATTCTCGAGATAATTTTCAATTCACTGTCACCAACTAAACCACCTTGCCTTCAATTGATGGTAAAGTACAGTGGAGATGATCCTTCACCAATATAGCATGATACTTGGAAGAGATGTGGTGTGATCACACTGAAGAAAGCTGTTGTAATATTTGTACGGGGCAATGGTCAGGAAATAAGTATCTTAAAGAGATGCTGTGACACACATACATTGACATTATTTGTGAACCTCTTTGGACTGTTTAATTGAAATCCTTACACAAAATGAATAACCTTATTAGATTAAATACATGTTCTAATTTAAGCAGAGATATTAAATCACTAAATTAAATTGACCAATAGATTATTGAATGTATTTAAGACTGATGATTTAGCCAAGCTCTTAAGTTTACTACATATAATCATTGTACACATCAATGTTGAAAAAGTTTTTAACCATGGATAACATGATAAACAGTATGTGTTTGCCCAGTCCACTCCCACTCAGTTATGATAATCATAGTATATGTACTATGATTAACATAACTGAGACCACACACACTATGACATGAATCTAATTAACTGACACAAGATGCCATTAGAGGAGGACAAGTGTTGGGCTGCGTTTAAGGATAGAGATTATAAAGAAGCTGTTCACTTACTACCATTAGTGAAGGAACCAAATAAAATTAAAAGAAGATATATGAAATGGGATAATGCTAGTTTACTTCATTTGTCTTCAAAGCATGGCTGGTTAGATGTTACAAGAGATCTCATCACTGAATATCACTGTGACCCACAGGAAAAAGATGGTGTAGGTCAGACTTGTCTTCATTATGCTGCAAGGGGTAATCATGTTGATGTGCTAAGATATCTCATTGATGAGTGTCACTGTGATCCAATGGCTACTGATATGTATGGGGACACTGTTCTTTACAAAGTAGTTACTTATGGATCACTTGATGCCATGAAGTATTTAATCAAAGATCATCACTGCGATCTAATGGCTACTAACTATAAGGGTGAAACTGTTCTTCATTACACAGCTAAAACCAACTCACCGCCACCTCATTCACCTGATGTAATAAAATATTTAATTAATGAGTGTAACTATGATCCAATGACTGCTAACAGCTGGGGGTCAACACCACTTCACTATGCTGCTCATTGGGGTCATTCTGAAATTGTTGAATGTTTACTATCAACTGGTAAATGTGATCCATTGGCTAAAAACAATGAGGGGAAAACACCATTACAAGTAGCTAAAGAGGCAAAACAGAGAGGCTGGGGTAATACTCTTCCTATCTTTAAGAAGTTTGGTGATATAAAATCATCTCATCCAATTGAGTCTTATGTTAACGTCCTCCTTGTGGGTAATCCTGGAGCTGGTAAAAGTACTCTTAGTCATGTCATCA